AATAACACTTTAAAAACGGAGTTGACATAAAAAATAAATTATTACAATTTGGTTTAAACATTATTGACTGTACGTACACACAATGAAGTATCCTTTCATTCTGATTTAACTATCATTTTGTAATCATTCATTATCTCTCTCTTCTTTTTCTCTGTTTTTTTTTTTTTATTTCTTTTTTCTATTCCTCACTTGATTTAATTATAAATTTCAATTTCAATTTAAATGGACGCGACCTGAGCTTTTTATCAAAATCTGAACGAACCTCATTTTGAAAATTCCCAAATTCCTGATTGAATTGTTTTTGATGCATTATTAACACATACATTCCTCGCAGTCTTTTCTCTGTGTATGTATGTGCGTGTGCGTGTGTGTGTATATATATATCTGAACATTTCATATTATTTTAACTCTCTTTTAGGTTCCTACGCTAAACACAATTCCATAATCTTGTTTTTTTATATTTTATGTCAAACATCATGGATTTTCTCTTAGTTGGAGAAAATAAGGAATAATTAAATAATTATTTAATCAATTCATTAATTATGTTATCAGTTCAATGCAATATTTGTCATCTCTTTTCTTTGATTCTTAAAAAAACACAAAACAAATTGTTTTTCTTCTTTTTATTTTCTATTTTTTTGTTTTTGTTTGCGAGCAATCAGTATTTTTATCTATTATATTTAATCTTGTAATCTCGTGAATGGTTTTTTTTTTTAACAGACTAGTATCAAACACACTTGGATATGCAAATATTCGAATACAATTGAATAATCTCGATTAAGTTCACCTGTTATAAATATACTTTCTTTCTACTTTTTTGTAATCTCATTTGTAATTTTATTGATAAACTAATCGGTTGCTTTTTAAATCGGACATTATTACATTACTTTTCATTATTTAACTTTTCTATCATTATTATTATTATTATTATTATTATTATTGTTAATATTATTACTATTATTATTATTATTTTTGTTATTGTTTGTTGTAAATTTATCTTGCAACAAAAACTAACTTTATAATCTGTTCTTTCATCTCCTAAATATATATCATTCATTTAATTAATTTCATTTACTAATATAATTCATTCCAAGTAATTTCTATTTGCCATTTTAAATTTCATTTTTATATATTTTCTTTTAAAAAACAAAAATATATTAACTCAATAAAAAATAATACTCGTAGTCCCGAGAACGTGTTAATTGTATATACGTGTATATGTGTATGTGTGAATGTTTGTATTAACATATCTAAATAATAATTGCTTATCAATCATTTTGGAACAACACTCGTAGACACTTAAAATATCTTCTTTCATTTTTTGAAACATTCATTCGTGCGGAGTGATAAGGGGGATAGTGGTTGGCTGGAGAGGAGGGGATGGTAAATCTATCTAAATATCGAATATATTTATTCTCTAAGAGACAGCAAAAATAGGCAACAATCGATAAATATTGAAAAATATTTCATTGCAAATCCCATTCCGATTGTTGCAATCATTTTTTTTCTTTCATCAAATTTTTTCCACAAACCCTTTTTTTCGTACATTTTCTATACACACACAACAGTAATTGGAGGACATCGATAAGCTAAATGCAGGGGAGAGGGGGTAATTAAGATAACATGAGTCAATCATGTCGAATAAATGAAAAAATAAAGATTTTCGATACGTAAAATTGAACATCATTCTTTTAAAATTATTTTATTTTGAGCACCACTGATATTTGCTACTACTAACCTACTTTCCATTCATTACCACGTGACACCACTCTAACTATCTTCGAATGAAACGATTGGAGGGGGTAACCCTCCAGCTGAGCGCGACCAGTGGTTCTCACACAACATCGATGAAAAATATTCGATTCAAAAAGAATTTATATTATCTAAAAAAAATAAAATTAATAAATAATTATTATTAAATGAAATGAGAGTCATCACTAGTGGTTCTTATACTTTATACAAAAATAATGTTGAAATGATGCAAAAATACAATTTATAAAAACACAAACTATCAATAAATGATTAAGAAATTCGAGATAAATTTCAAAAGAACGATGTTATTAATCGATATATAATAAATATATATACCCGTATCCGATAACTAGGATTATTAGGCTTCGCCTACATTTTTCTAATACAATCAATTAATAAAATTATATGACACTGATCATATATCCTTCTTTGTGACATTAGGAACGTAATACTGTCAATATATAATTTGTATATACTATATATATTTTCATTATTCCGACTGAAATGACCGTTTACTATTAGGCCTTGTAAATTTGTTAGCACGCGATTGATATATGTATATGTATTATTATTATTATTATTATTATTATTATTATTATTATTATTATTATTATTATTATTATTATTATTATAATTATTACGTGTTATCTTAAATATCCCGATAATTCTTTTATCGATCGTTTCTGAATATCCGAATAATAACACGCAAAAACACGACGTGAATCCATGGGAATATTTAATCATTTAAGTATATATGTTTAATATAACAAATCCGAGAACGAAACATTGTTACTCGATTTTAAATAAATAAATAAATGAATACAAAAAGTCACGATTAAAAAATAAACTCTACGAATTAATCTAACTTTGTTAAATATGACGAATCTCTAATCTTTATTTGATAATAATAATTGCAATAATAACGATAATACGAGATACCTATTAAAATAAAAAAAAAGACAATTATTATAAATGAAATTTTAAAAGAATCCGAATAAGAAGCTTATTCATATTATTTATGAACACCCCATACACCGGGTGTCTCGATCAGGTCGCGTACGGTAATATTTTTATATGGACAGTACACTGATTTATCGTTGGCTAAATTTGAGATATATGTAATGTATTTATGTATGTAACGTGTATATGTAATGTAATGTAATGTAATGTAATGTAATGTAATGTAATGTAATGTAATGTATGCACCGATAATTTTACAAATCGCTTTTGTATTTTGTTCTTGTATTTATATCTTTTTATTTTTTTATTTTATTTTAATTTTTTTTTTGTTTTCTTTTTTTTCCTTACTTTTTCTTTGTTTCCTTAGAGCTTCGTATAAGCGCGCGCGCACACAAAACCACAATTTTTAAATATATTATTTTAATTATTGGCTAGTAGTGTTACTGGCAATAGACACCCGGGCAGATTGATCTTCGAAGATAAAGTGAACGTCGTGTCAGACCTGTTGGGAAGTAATTAGATCAGTTTTGCTTGAATTCTTGAGAATCGAAGGCCCAGGAAGCTTCTGTGTGGTACTTGTACCACCGGATGTTGGCTGAACCATCATTGGTTGACCGTTTACCAATACTATTGTGTCTCGTACTGAATCGTAACCACCTGGTGGGCCTAAATCAAATTTCAATTGATATCTAATAATAATAATAATAATAATAATAATAATAATAATAATAATAATAATAATAATAATAATAATAATAATAATAA